ACAGCTAAAGCGAACAGCTGGGGCAATCTACTTCCGTAGTGATACTGCCTCGGAAACCCAAGGGGGGGTCGCTATGAGTCGGGGTCCAACTCGACGGCACATAACAACAACAACAAAGTGAACAGCAGAAATGATGAAGTAAAAGAGCTGAGCAGATTTCAAAGAGCAGCTCAAAAGACGAAAGTATTGTAAAAAATGTGCAAAAACCTGGAGTTAAAAAACCAAAATGGAAGAACACACTCAGCATTTCTCAAGCTGAAATAACTGAAGCAAAAACTCAAGCCTCAAGTTGCAATACTGAAGAATTCTATGAGCAAAAATAATTATATGCACAGGAAGCATCAAAAGATGGAAGGAATACGGTATTTAGGATATTTAGAATCCTCAAGTAATACTAGGGCTAATGAGAACTTTTTCTGTTTGCTTATTAAGCTCTCTTCTTGCTTTTACAAGTAATAGTGACCAATGCATGGCAGATAGATAGAGGAGTTCTTTTGGTATAGATTACCATAAAGACTGTACCATAAAGAATTGGTCAATGTTCAGCCATCTCGGGAGATAGCATAGGATCAAGAACCATTGGTACCGAAGGAATAAGTCCAAGCTGTACTGAAGGCACTGGCAAAAATTAAGGCTCCAGGTAACTGACTAAACACCAATTGAGATGTTTCAACAAACAGATAGAACCCTGGAAACACTCATTTGTCTGTGCCAAGAAAGTTGGAAGACAGCTACCCGCAAACAACTGGAAGATACGCATATTTGTGCTCATTCCTAAGAAAGGTGATCCAATGGAAAGTAGAAATTATCACTCTTTATATATTACAGGATGCATTACTGAGTGAAAAAAGAAAGATGCCATGTGACCTTGAACAAATTAATTTTTCCTCTTTTTAAAAACTGAGATAATGATATTAACCATAACATGCAGGGTTCACAAGCCCTTTTCCAAAATTCTTTGTGTCAGATGTGTTGCAGAATATTTTTTAATAAAATACAGTATGCATACTATTTACTAATACCCCATCAAGCCCTGGGTCAACACTTCATAATCTCACATAATATTTCTGGAGAAAAATGTATAAGAATTCACATGTGAGGCAGATAAAGACTAAAATAGTTCCATGTCAGTGCAAGTCAGGTCTTAACAGCTAACATATGGAAAACACACCTGTTTGGCAGTTTTCCATATTTCAGAATGGCAAATAAGGGATTGTGATCCTATATAGATGAAACCCTTACACAGTGCCTAGGACACACTAAGCACTGTTTCCAGCATCAACACAACCACACATATGGACTTTTAAACATTTAGACTGTAATTTCTGAAGAGACAAATAAGTATGATATTGAATAAAACTGTAAAGAACTCCTCTATCTACCATGTTCTGCCCACTACTACCAATAAGAAGCAAGAAGAGTTTAATATGAAGCAAACACTAAAACTTCCCATTAGCTTTTAGTATTATTTGATGATTCTAAATAATAAACTGAGTTTACTTGCTGGGGCAGTGAGGGGAATAAATTCTGGACATTTTAAGAGTAAAGTATCTGCATCACAACTGTGGATTACTAAAATATTTGATTTTTTTATTATTTGAGAAAAAGTATCAAGAAGAAAGATAAATTTACTTTCCATTCTATCTTGTAAAAGGACTTGATTTGTTAAATGATAAACTGGATTAAGTATAAAGGCCATATCTTAGAAGGTACATCAAAGGATTAAAGTTGCAGATTTTAATAATACAAGCAACATGAACACAGGAAGAGGATGACCTGTTTTATCTATTATTATCTGAATACAGAAATGTTAGAATACATATAGAAAGATGTTGCAATACAAATCATCCTCATAGATGTGCAGTTATAATAAGTAAGTTCTTAGACTTGTTTTCCAAAAACATATCTTCATTACATAAAGTATGCTTCTACTAATATTATTAGCAATATTAACTCATAAAAAACTTAGGTTTATCTGCATTTTCATAAATTAAGAATTCCAAAGTTACACAAGTTATGTTATCTTCCTTCATAAAAGAGTATTTTATTCATTGGTACTGACCACTCTAACTTGTGCTAAAAATGAAATACATTATTACTACTTTAAAATCTTTATTCAAATCAGACCCATGCTTATTGTTTACATTTTCTTTCATTTAGCACTAAAATATAGTTATCAATCTGTAGTTTAAATCATACTTTTAGCCCTTTACAAAATATGTAAAATTGTTACAGTTTTAAACTGATCTAGAATTAGTCTTTAATGAAAATGAAAAATTATGATACACAATAAGATAAATGTACACAAACTAAATAAACAGTAATAAAACAATATAAAGTATTTACAGACATTTCCTCATAATTCTTGTGGCTATCTGCTAACTACTATAAATCACATACCCTTAATAACCAAAATGACCAAACTCACTGGCGTCAAGTCAGATCCAACTCATAGTGACCCCTCCTTGGGTTTCTGAGGCAGTATCACTACAGAAGTAGATTGCTCAACCTTTCTTCCAAGGAGTGGCTGGTGGGTTTGAACCAACAGCCTTCTGGTTAGCAGTCAAATGCTTCAGGCACTACACCACCAGAGCTCCCTATTCTTAATAAGCTTTTGAACAAATTTTCAGTAACTCAATTAAATAAATCATTTGAGGGGTCATGAGAAAAATTTTTTTCCCAAACAATTTTTCATTTACTTAATTACAAAAGCTCTTGTTTCCCTAGGTCAGAAATTATCCATATTTATAATCTTAAATCACAACATCCACAGATAAGATTTGGTACATTTCACATGTTAAAAACACTGTACAACTGGAAGTTCTCAAAAAAAAAAAAAAATATATATATATATATAAGAAATGGTATTTCAAAGAAAAGAAATTTTAGTCTAGATTTAGCCTCCAAAAGGTTGAAAAGACCTCTGTAGCCAATGCTTAATTGTCTATACATCTCCAAACAACAATGTTCACATCTGGGTTTTTTTTTCTGTCTTCTTAAAATTGTTAAAAGTATATCTTTGTGTTTTCTTCCAAGAATGGAAACATCTAATGGCAAACTATTTTCATATCCATAAAAATATAAATACTCTTTTACTAGAATATGGATAGGGAATTGTTAATGACAAATAACAGAATACAAGACATTGATTCAATAAACCTCGATTTATCAATGTATCAAGTGATCTAAGTGCACAGCAACCAAAATAAGCTCAGTATGAATATCAGCTGTTAATTTGTGAATAAAGAGTAAAGTAAGGTAAAGAAATTTAAATAGTTGTCTGTCATTTTTAAAATTAAATAAATTGAAAACACTTTAAAATTTTGTTAAATCTGTTTTATTAACATTAAGAAGGATTAAGAAAAAAATTGTTTAATATTATGAAATTATAAAGTATAGGAAATAGTTTTATTTGAATCCCTTCTTGTAACCTGAAGGGTTTTTGTTTTTTTGTTCACTGTTGGATATTTTAAAAAAACAATTTGAAAATTCCTAAACTTAAGAGTTTCAAATGCTCGACAGAATTCAAGTTTATGTTTCTTATATTCCAATTCTGTATTTTTATTTTATTGCTATCAGTCTTGACATTTTATCCCTGAATATTTAGGGGAAAAAAAATCAAGCTGCAAAAAGATATTAGACTGCTTTTTACCACTAAAATATAAAAATTTAATTTTATGAATTTGACTCACACTCAAAGAATATTTACTGATGCTATAAATCAGAGAGCAATGACAGAAATGCTGTCTGGAATACAAAAAGAAAGAAAATGAGGTTACTTGAATTGTCCTGAAAGTTCTCCAAATTCTTCAACATGGCTTGCATTTAGTTATGTTCCAAAATACTAGTGTTTAAAATTTAACTGAAAATTAGAGGTTTTATTTGCAAGTAAAGGCAGTTTAATGACTTTTAGTAATAAAATCATCAAACTGTTTTACAGATCTGAAACACAGATGGTTAAATTCTGAACAAACTAACATCTGCAAGAAAGCACAACTATTTTTTTTAAAAGCTATTCCATACTATTTTGTGCTTTAAGGGTCAAGGAAAAAAAAAGATAAATTATACATAATTACAAAATACCAAATTTAAAATTAACTCATAATTTCTCTATCCAGTTATAAATATTGTCATATCACTCATTTTTTTAATGTGCCAAAGATACGGCTTTACAAAATATAAGCAAGTAATTTTTGAAGAATAAATTGTGTTAATAATTATATATTTTTTAAATTAATTTTATAGGGTAGTAAAACAATCAAAAACCAAACCAAACCAAACCTACTATCATCAAGTCAATTCCAACTCATAGCAACCTCCAATGGTTTTCCAACAAGGCTGTAAATCTTTACAGAAGCAGATTCCCTGATCTTCCTCCCTTGGAGCAGCTGGGGAGTTTGAACCACCTACCTTTTGGTTAGAAGCTCTGGTAGCCTAGTACCTAAGGCACTTGACTGAGAACCAGAAGGCTGGTGGTTTAAACCCACCAGCCACTCCTCGGAAGGAAAGCTGGCCCATCTACTTCCATAGTGATACAGCCTCGGAAACCCAAGGAGAGGTTGCTATGAGTCGGGCCAACTTGACGGCACATAACAACAACAAACCTTTTGGTTAGCAGCCCAATGCCTTAAGCACAGTGTTACCAGAGCTCCATAGGAAGACAATCTCTTCAAAAATTACTTAAGTGTTACTGATTCCATCACAAAATCACTTTAAGTCAATTTTTTCCACTATCCAATTATACCTAAGTAACTGTGAATAGCTATAGCTTTCCTCTGACATGTAACAAAAAGGACATTTGTAGAGACTTACTTGTAAAGGCTGAGTGAAGTTCATGTACTAAAGCACTATACCAATTTCTAGTTGAGAAGGTGAAATTTAGAAAACTTTCAGCCCAAATAACAAAAATTATTTGAATTATTCACCTTTTAAATTTCAGACAGTATAACTTCTACATTAAAAAAAAAAAAAAAAAAGTCAACTTCACCACCACTGGTAACATTTTTTACTTGAACATTTAATCTACATATTCATTAGTTTTAATTAGACATGTTGAAGATTAAGTGTAAAAGATAGCAAAGTTTCAATATGTTAACATTACTTTTTAAATGTTCTCAATATTTACATACACATACAAATTATAGATACAGTTAGTTGTATTTCTAAAATACACATATGACCACCACCCTTCTTCCATAACCATAATGATATGAGGATAAAGTAATAAATCTCTGTACTATACAAGGCAAAATAAAAGATGCTTTAAAAAATTAATCTTTAAAGAAGAGTTTCAAAAATAAAGTTCAAATATTGCACAAAATAATTTAAGTACAAATAGCACTGCACACTATAAAGCAATCATTTTTTTTTTTTAATTCCTGATCTCTATCGTAAATTAAACCCCATTTTCTAGTTATTTTAAAGAATTTACTGGAAGTATGCATTTAGATATTAAATGTTTATATTCAGTTTGACTGGAATGCAATTGTCAGAGGTTAAGTGAGCCTTTGTCTTAAAAGTTCATCTATTTGAGTTTTATACATATTTTTTACATCTTCAAGATCTAGCCGAAGTTCTTCTGCCTCTTCTGCTTTTTCTCCATACATCTGGAGAATAGTGTTGTATCTTTGATCCAAATCCTACAAAACATAATTTTTTCCAATTTTTAAACTAACTGCACAGAACATCTTTTATATTATAAATGAGTCAATAGAAAACACATTACAATTTAAATAAAGTATATAATGTATTGCTACGCAAACAATGCAGGTATATTATACTCTGTCCCCCCACCATGTCTTCCCCTCAAGATGTTTTCATAATCACACTATACTAATGTTTTTACATGTTGCTCTGAAAAAATTAGTACATCATGCTTACAAAAATACCTTGGTGGAAGGGCAAGGTTGGCAAAAAGGTATAACATTCATGTTATTTGCATAAAAATACAGCCCTCATCTCTTTTAAAATTTAAGAGGAACTCTGGTGGCATAGTGCCTAAGGCATCTGACTGCTAACCAGAAGGCTGGCAGTTCAAACCCAGCAGCCCCTCCTCAGAAGGAAGATTGGGCAATCTACTTCCGTAGAAATACCACCTCGGAAATCCAAGGAGGTGTCACAATAAGTTGAATCTACTGTTGAGCGACAGCAGTGAGTTTTTGGTTTTTTTTTTTACGGTGATCTAAGTTGGAATACAAAGCTAGAAGAATTAAACACACACACACACACACACAAAATTAACAAACCAGATGGAAGTCAAACTTACCAAATCTCTCCATTAAATCTATAATTCTCCCCCCATACAGTTTAATTTCTTTCTCTCCCATCAATACTAAGAACACATGAGCAATTTATGTCTCTTTGATGCATTGTGGTTAAGCATCACTTGGCACTTAGCCCACAGGAAAAGTCAAAACAAAATATATTTTCATTCAAGGTTTAACATTATCTTCTAAAATGTAAATAATGCTAATTGTGATGATACATATAAATAATGTCAATGAATAAAATATTACTGATCGTGTATTGTTCTTGCTATTAGTTCCTGTCAAGTCAATTCCTATGCATGGTGTCCCTATGTATGCAGAGCAGAACTGCTCCATAAGGTTTTCAAGGCTGTGACCTTTCAGAAACAGATCTCCTTACTCCTGAGGAGCCTCTGAGTGGGTTTGAACTACCAACCATTCAGTTAGCAGTCCAGTGTTTAACCATTTGTACCACCCAGAGACTTCATATCATGTATACTGCAATCTTATAAATGAGCCGTGGCCAAGTAAATGTAGTTCTTCCCTAGTACTGGTTCTAAGCACAGTTGTGAAAAATACTTAGAATGAGTAATGTGGCAAGCAAAATGAAAAGATTTATCCTTAAAGTTCTTTACTCAAATATTAAAGCCGGTGGGTTTGAACAACCAACCTTTTGGTCAGCAGCCAAACACTTACCCATTGCTCCACCAGGGCTCCTTATCAAATATTAAAATTATTTTATTTTCAAAGAAATCATTGAAAGTATACTTTATGTAAACTAAAAATATGACATTTAATATAAATGGATTAGAATATTTTAGACTCAACTTAAACTGAAGAATACTTACTCTTAGCTGAGTTCGAAGTTTGGGTATCTCCTTCACTTTTTCTTCAAGCTCATCATTTTGATTTGTTAATTTAACTAACTCTTCAGCCATGATTGAGCGGGTTTTTTCCAGATTCCCAATTTCTAGCTGAGGAACATTACCAGAAAACAGTCTGTTTTAAAATGTATATCATTTAATATTCCCACTAATATGAACACATTTAATTGGTAATTTTTGAAAAATATGTTTTACTTACTTGTGAGTACCAAGTTTAACAATGAAAACAGATAAGACCTTTTAATGTTTCTCAGTGCAGTTTTTTAAAAATACTTATTTTGATATTGTTGAGAATGCACACAGAAAACATACATCAATGTAACAGTTTCTACATGTACCATTTAGCGACAGTGATTATATTCTTTAAGTTGTACAACCATTTTCACCTTTCTTTTCTGAATTGTTCCTCCTCCGTTAATATAAATTCACTGCCCCCAACAGTCCCTATCTAATCTTTCAAGTTGCTACTGTCCCTTTGATCTTATATAGGTAGTTCTTAAAAGAGCATAATACTCAAAGGAGATGGTTTTTTTTTTTTTTTTACTAACTGAGCTAAACTACTGTTTGGTTTTAAGATGACTTCAAGGGAAAGTTTTGGTTTAAGGTTTAAAAGATTATCTCAGAGCAATAGTTTCAGGAGTAGATCCAGAAGTTTGGAGTCTGAGAAAATTTGAAATTCTATTCTGCATTTTAAAAAAAATACTTTTTATTGTAATTTGAGTAAAGGTTTACAAAGCAAATCAGTTTTCCATTCAACAATTCATACACATTTTGTTTCATGTCACTGATAACATCAGTCATCCCACTTCCTCCCTGTGTTTCCCACTCCCATTCTTCCTCCTTTCCTATCCCTTCCTTTTGAACGTGGTCCTTGGGCCTTTTGATCTCAATTGGTTCACTGTTCTAGGGAGTATGTACCTCCCAGGTGCTACTGTTCACCTTGTTGTTGTTGTTGTTATTATGTGCCATCGAGTCAGACCCGACTCACAGCGACACCTCCCTGGGTTTCCGAGGCAGTATCACTACGGAAATAGCTTGCCCAACCTTCCTTTTGAGGAGTGGTTGGCGGGTTTGAACCGCCAGCTTTCTGGTTCGCAGTCAAGTGCCTTAGGCACTACACTACCAGAGCTTCTGTTCACCTTGTAGACATGTCTATTGTTTGGCTGAAAATTAAACCATGGTGGTGAAGTCTAGGCTTGAAGGGTGACTAAGGGCCATAGACAAGGACATAAGAGTTCCACCACTTTCTCTGACCAGTGGGTTTTTGGTTTTTTCAATGATTTTAAGTTTTGTTCCATATCTTTCTTTCACTCTACCTAGGATCTTCTAAGGGAGCTCTGGTGGTGTAGTGCCTAAAGCATTTGACTGCTAACCCAGGAGGCTGGCGGTTCAAACCCACCAGTCACTCTAATCCTTTTCAGAGCAGTTGGCAGTGGTAGCTGGGCACCCAGGGTTATGGAGGCTAAGGTTTGCATGGTCCATTAGTCCTCTGGACTAATTGTTTCCATAAGTATTTGATTTTCATCACCATTTTCTCTTTTTTCTTTTTGTAATGACTGCTCATTACTCAGCCTACATAAATCAAACTGTATAGGTTATGATTACTTTTCCAAAGGAATAATACAAGTGCTTGATGAGCAACAAATGGTATTTCCATTTTCTCCCTCTTGGTCAGGATTCTTCTTATTGAACCTTTGATCAAAATATTCAATAGTATTAGCTAGGTACCATCCAGTTCTTCTGGTCTCATGGCAAAGGAGGCAGGTGTTCATGGAGGCAATTAGCTACATATTCCATATCCTTTTTCTATTCCTGACTCTCTTTCTTCTGTTGCTCCCAGAGAATAGAGACCAACTGTTGTGCCTTGGATGGCTACTTGCAAGCTTTTAAGACCCCAGGACTATGCAATGAATGAGGAGGTAGAAAAGAACCACTAAAATGTTATTAGGACAATTAACTGGGATGTCCCATGAAAACATGACCCTAAACTTCCAAACCAAGGAACCAAATCCCATGAAGGCTTTGCCTGCACTTAAGCAGACTCAGCAGCTACTCTTTTTTTTTTTCTTCAACCCCCCCGCCCCCAAGGAGGCATCGCTATGAGTCGGGGCCAACTAGACGGCATATAACAACAACAACATAGTAGTTCTATTGTTAGTTTTGTGAGGACCACCACACTGTTTTCCACAATTGCTGTACCATTTTGCATTCCCATCAACAACGAATAAGGGTTCCAATTTCCCTATATTCTTCCTAACATGTTATTTTTCTTTTTTTTTAAATCTTAGCTATCCTAAAACTAAAAAACACACTGCTGTTGTCAAGTTGGATATGACTCATAGAGACCTCTCCTTCGGTTTCCAAGGCAGTATCACTATGGACGTAGATTGCCCAAATCTTGCCCAATCTTCCTTCCGAGGAGTGGCTGGTGGGTTTGAACCGCCAGCTTTCTGGTTAGCAATCAAATGCCTTAGGCACTATGCTACCAGAGTGAAATGGTATTTCTCTGTGATTTTGATTTACATCTCTCCAATAGCTAATAATGGCATGTTTTCATGTGTTTGGTGGCCATTTGAATGGCGTCTTTGGTGAAACGTTTATTCAAGTCCTTTGCCCATTTTATGATTGGGTTATTTGTCTTTTTTGCTGTTAAGTCCATTAAGTTTTTAAAAGCAAGGTAAGATAGGGAATGTTCCCTCCCCATTCATGTTGTTTCCTTCCATGTGCAGGCTGTTACAACTTGAATCTCTCTCCTCCCCTTTACTCACTCCTCACTGTGAAAGTTGGAGTAGCTATCTAAGTGATAAACACGGGAAGAACAATGTAGACATGCTCAGCTCAGCAGCTTCTCTTTTTCCTCTTGGGAAACAGGTTCCAACGCATGGGCAAACCTGCACTAGCCCAGCATTTCCTCTCACAGACTAGATAAGTTGGCCCAATTCTGGGATTCAGTTGGCAAACTCACTTGGCTCTATCCTTAGCTATTTTCTCCAACTAGCTTATATCAGTAATATAAGGGATACATCTTATGTTTCATATGCCACTATTTCATCTTATTTCTCAATCTGTTAAGAATTCAGGTGGAAATGAAGGGTGCTATTTATCGGACCCCTAAATATCATTTACTTCTAATAGTGCATTTTATTTTTTCCAATACCTGCAAGTGAGTAATTTCTCCATCCCTTAGCTTCAGCTGAGACTGTAAATTCTCAATAACGCTTGATCCTGCACCCATCCTTACAGCATCATAAAGATTGCTTCCATTAGCTGATGCAGACATTGGTCCAAATGAGTGATCATGAGGCTCATCCTATGTTAATTAAACAAAAGAAAGCACACACAAGTATTGCAGATTTTGTCCATTATAAGGTTCAAACAAAATGGTTGTGAATTTTTGCTTTAAAATGTATATGACTTTCTCAAAGGCAGAAATCATCTCACTGCAATTAGCACAATTCACACATATACTGATGAATTTGTCATTTATTTATCCCTTTACCATTATTCAGTTTAAGAACAAAGCAAATACAAGAAATAAAACATCACCTGAGACAGAAAAGACGTTTGTAGCCCTGCCATATCAACTCCACTTATGGAACTTGATCGTGAAATTGTGGGGGTACTAGAAACAGAAAAAGGCTTGCGTTCCTCAAGTAGTTTTAAAAAAAAAAAAAAAATCAGATTAAAAAGCAAGAAAACTTTCTAGGATTAATGATACAAAAATTCATTCTAACTTCCCCCAAAATATTGTTATCAAAGGCACAATATTCAGTAATTTAAAAGAATACAGACTTGGTCAAATAATCTCCAAATCCACTGCCATCAAGTTGATTCCGATTCATAGCGACCCTACAGGGCAGAGTAGAATTGCTCTGTAGGGTATGCAAGCTTGTAATCTTTTACGGAAGCAGACCATCTCATCTTTCTCCTGCAGAGCAGCTGGTGGGTTCAAACCACCAACCATTTGGTAGTGGCCCAATGCTTTAACTACAGTGATACCACAGGACCCATTTATATTACAACAACATGATTTGGTTTTTCTTTTTTAAAGCTTTGAGAATATTTTTGTAGAACAATTATATGAATTAACTTATTATATAACATATATGCCAACCAAAAGTATATCTGTTTTCTTTAGAATTACTGATGTTTTAAAGCTTTTTGATGTTTTATGTATCAAAAAGTCTCTGGCTTATCTATTTTATATATATTTTTATTTTTTTTTTAATT